AATATTCTGTAACCAATCCTGTCCTCTGTATGACTCAATTATGTATAGTTTACTTTTTTGTACTGTTTACAAACAGCAAGATCATTCCAACAAATATTAAACCCCAAATATCATATTTTCCAGTGCTAAAGGATGAACCTGAAGACCTTACTCATCTGGCCCCAGTGGCTGGAGATGAGTGTGTGCCATTGGAAACATCATTTGTGGACGAGTTTGATCTCTTCCTAAATGTTCCGGACAGTTATCCTCTCCTCTCTGAGGAACTTACATGTCTCAGTGACTCACAATCGAGCTCCAACTCGAAGAGTAGTACAGATCCATTCTTCTCGTACAGAGAAGACTTGGGTTCTGCTGGATCTCCTAGTGATGTGAGTCGATCACATTTGGGATCACCTTCCCACTCAAAGGTATGATCTTTGTGATTTGTCACAAATAAGCTTTAATAAGTTTTGTACAAGGAATATATGTTTGCACCCTTACAAAGTGTGAAGAACTTGATTTAATCTCTTCAAAAGTGATTAACGAATGGTCATACTGTGAAAGCATGGAATTAAATATAAGGCAACTTTTAAGAAAGCATTGAAAATTAAAATTGATTAAAGAATAATTGAGTTGCAATGAAATTCGTTTCGGGTGAAAATATTAAATTTTTGTTTTGTATTGTTGTCGTTTTACACTGGTTTGTATATTTTATGCTAATATTTCCATATTAGCTATGTGTTTCTTTGAGGATTTCCATAAGTAAAGTCCATTTGATTTCAGAGCCCCAGTGACAGCAGTATGCCATCATTATGTAGCCCAGAAATCCCATCTGATGAAGATCAGATGACACAATTCATGTCCCTTAATATGGATGCTTCCAGTCCAGAAGGAGATGATGAATTGAGTATGCGAGCACCATACATCCCGATGGGAGATGATCTTCCACTGCTCATATCAGATGATCTGATGTGGGGCAGTCCAGTTACAGAAAAATCACTCAGTGATGATGGATGGTAAAAAGAAATACTGCATCTTTTTTGCATTGTAACATCTTGTGTGGTGTAAGTAATCTAACATTGTTTTGTTTGTATCCATCTTAGGTCATCACAAGTATCAGGTTCTAACTTTGTTCAGTTATTGAACTCTGATTCTGGAAATTCTCGGCCACCACTTCGGACTCGTTTGGTAGTTAAATGTAATGACCATGGAGGTGGGTTGGTTGACCCTGGCAGTTTACTGGATGATACGTATTCTAGAAAGAGTAAGTGATTATTTTAATACATGACATTACATGATAAATTGTTTCATGGCATTTACCAGAATATGGATTACCTCTGTTGAATTTAACTTTTTGTGTGTGAACATTTTATAACTTTGTGATTTGAAAATGTAAAGACTTTACTAGATGTATGAACTATAATATTTCTTCAGATATAAGTTATTCATTTTTCAAATCACTCTTTACCAATTTTATATCTACTAAAATGTCATCATTTTGCCTCTTACTTTCCTTCAATTTACAAAAACAATTTAGTTGATAACAGATTTTGGATAAATTTGAATGAATTTGAATATTTGTTTCTTTGTCATGTAGATAACATGGACTGGGCTGAAAGTCCTCGTCAAATAGAACTTCAGGATTCCAGTTCAAGAGCTCCATCAAAGGAAGGATTGACATTAAAGAAAAATCCACCTGGTGTTGGTCCTCCAGATAGGTGTTATAAAAGAGCCCATGAACCTGGGCAGAATTCAGAAGGGACTAAACGGACAAAAGCAGATAATAGTTCTGTATTAGAAAATGGTCTCTCTAGGCAATTACTTCAACAGTTAATAAAGAACCAAGTACCGAGTGCCTCCCCACAAATACACAGTGCTGGTTCTGGCACAGTGAACTGGGGACAAAATAAAGGCACAACAAAAGTTCAGCAAAGGCAACAGCAGCGTCAACAATCACAACAACAACAACAACAGCAAAAGCAGCAGCAACACAAACAAAAGCAGCAGAGGCAACAGCAGTGTATTCAGCAAGTGCAGCACCAACATCAACCCTCACCATCGCCTCAGTACACACACCAGCCACAGCCTCCCCAACAACAGTCACCACCCCAGCCACCACGGCCTCCGCAACAGCCGAGCGACAGTGTCCTGATGAATCTGCTAGTTAGTGGCTGCGATGTGAGTGCTGGCTATGTTTGTCTGGATTCAGCAAAAATGGGATTGGGCCGTAGCGGGCGAGTGTTGAGTAAATGTTAGGACAAACAATGATATTGGATAATTTTGAATGCAAGTATTGTGCATTCCAGTTCTGAGTTATGGATGTGGGTTTAACCTGAGAAAAGTAGACTGCTGTTCTTGAAGTAGGATTTGTCTGTATTGTTTAATTGATGTAGTAGTGAATGAGTATTGCATTCATAGGAGATCCTGTGGTCTTTGTAGTGCACTAGTTATGTTCACCAGTGTCCTGCAGAATTTATTGGAATAGATAGATTTTTTGCTTATTTGTTTTGTTTTATTATTTGTCCATTCTTTTTCTACCAGTCTCTTGATTGATCAAATGAAACATGGATCTGAATCTTTTCCTGATTTTGAATTTATTTTTATGTCTGCTCTTTGTGACTGGCATCATCTTCTACAGTTACTTTCTTTTGACCCTTGTCCACAAAATACCAGTTTCCTCAAGTTTCCATTCAAAAGAATTGCGAGTTTATCACAATAGTGTTCAATTCTAAAGATGTTGCAGCAGTAGGATATCACTCAATGAACTATTACCTATAGGACTTTAGAAAGAAAAAATAATTAAGCTTGAAAGGAAATTATTTGGCAGTAATGCTGACTTGAAATATGACTAGTTTTCATATTGAAAATTAAAAATTAATTAAACATCTTTCTTTGAGAGTGTTCTTTCAGAAAATATGAGAATTAAGTGTGAACAGTTTAGCCTTAGCATTGGCACAGCATAACTAATAATACATTGTCTATTTTGTAATAAAATTTACGGATATCAGGAAAATTCATAGTGTCATTCTGTTATGTTTCTGTGATGTAAATATTATATATCTTTTTTTTACAATTGCTCACAGTACAACAGTGTGTATAAAGTTACCATTTATTCAGGTTTCATTGTTTGGGGCAGGACATTCAGTATTACATGTGGGATGTAATCTCACTGGCATAAATAGTTCTGTAGAATGAGAAACATAGGTTTTTAGAGTAATTGTATTCTTAAATGCTATGTTCTTATGCAAAGTCATGTAATTATGCACAAAATGTAAAATAAATCGATTTATGTTTTTAAGTAAATTAGGGAGGAAGAAAAATTGGATTCTGATAATTGGGCAAAACCTATGTATCATTTAACTGTTGCTTTCATTTTTCATTAATATGGAACCAAAGAGTCCATGATACTTGGAGTGAACTATGAAAAGGTTCATATTAATGAACATAAGAAGGCAACTCATAACATGTACTTGAATATGCTTTGGAATCTGGTCCTGGAACCTATCCTGTCTCCTCTCCAGTTTTAAGGGAAACTTGCTTCATTTTTCAGGCTGCAAATTAGAAGAATTTTGTTACTTGTGGCAAATTAGGAGATAGGCTCACTATATGTTCAAACAATTGCATAAAAAAATAACTATTCAATATATTGATATTTTCTAGGCCGATAGGTCGTGAATTGATGGACTTTGATTCCAAAAATTTTATTCTCAGTAGTAGACAAAATTTTTGGAATTTAAATATCCATTTGACCATTGTCTGTCATCTGATAAGACATCAATAATATCGTCAAACAACTTTGAAAGCCTACGTTGCTTAAATTTTTACAAATATAAAAACAAAAACACAGGAAAAGGAGAGGATGGTCATTTAAGATTAGTATTTTCTTCAGTTAATTATTCTTCATATTTGTATATATGTTGGTTAAGTAGCATTTAAAGATACTATAAATATCTTTCTTTCAGAATCAAAGTTCCTTATGAAATAATTTCCATTTTTCATGAAAATAACTTGTATTATAAATTAATATGAGACCCATAAAAGTAATATTGAAGTTCATTATTTATTAATATTCAGCATCAGTTTTGAGAAACGGCTTCTTGTTTCTCGTATCTGAAGTTCCTTGAGATCAAATGATAATAGCACCTGGTTCAGATTTATCTTTAATATAAAATAAGCCAACTTCTTATTGAGCCAAATGTATGACAAAAACAGTTAATTTTCTTTAAATTTACAAGGTGGTATTGGTAAGTATGCGGAGACATGGAATAAAGAAAGAATATTTCTTTGTATTAGAGAAAATATTTTAATACTATTATCGATTTCATCCCACATTCTTGTTTCATTTAATTATCAGGTATGGTTGGATATTGGTTTCTAAATTCCACTATTGATCTGCTTCACACAGTGTGTATGTAATGATCGTAATATTTCCAGTAATAGGAGATTTGATGTCGTGTAAATAATATGAACAGGTCAAAACCCACATCTATGACAATGAAGGTTATATGTTTGGAAAACATTGTTTAATTACATAATATAATATGTATTATATTGTCCACATTCTGATGTTTGACAAGTGTTCTTTTTTGCCTGCAATTATCAGTTATGCTAAATAAAGACATGGCTATTTTGAGGCATTTTTGTACTTTTTATTCGAAGAGCTTATTTCCAAAATGTTTTTTATTAAAAACATCTGTCAACTCAAAAGAATTCTTTTCAGTAATATCATTGATGTCATGAGAGCTTTTTGTGAAAGGGAATGTAGTTAAAACATTTATAGTTCTAGTAATATGCATAGAATTCTCACAATTAGTATTATTTTTCTGAATATTTACCATTTTACTTTCAAGTAGTATTTTTATTTTTATACCACGTTATTTATTTGTGTTTGTATGTATGTATGTACTTTGGCACAACAGCTCTTTACAAGCTAAGGCCTACCAGCAGCGCCACACATTATTCATGTTTCATAATTATTTTATTTACATTCATTAATATTTATCAAATTTGCTTCTTTTCAGGAAAATTTATCAAAATTACCAGCTAACAAGAAATACATCTCGGATGATGCTTCAATGATAACTGAGCCTACTAAAGATCCAGACCTTGGTCAAAGGGAAGGCATACGCAAGAACTCTTTCTCTTTACTCGATCCAGAGAGTACAACCATTCCGTCATTGGCTGACCTCAGTGAACAGGACTATGAAGTAAATGCTCCAGTTGGGTCGAGTCAAGTGTTGCAAGGACAAGATCTCTTAAAAGCACTTGAAGTATCAAGTCCTATGATGGAATAGAAAGACACAAATAGTTGTGAATGTAAATCGTATTATTTGTTTTTGCATGTATGTACAGCAAGACAGTTCATATATATATATATATTTTTTTTTATGGTAATTGGTCATATTCTTGTCCTGTAGTTCTATAAGTTATGTATGTATGTATGTAAGTATGTATGTGTGTATGTATAATGAAGTATGAGCAAATGTAGATCAGATGTGTTTTTCAATATATGATTGCATTATTAAGATGGTGTTAAATATATTATTATTATTGCAGAAAGTGATTAATATTATGTTGTTTTTTAGTGTGACTTTTAAGATGGTATAAATCCAATCACTGTTTGATATAGTTTTATAGGTTGATATTTCTATGGAGAAAATCTGAAACCCTTCTTAATTTTGAAATTTTTGTTAAAAAATTAACATTCAGTCAAACACATCACAAAAACACTTTGAAGCATGATAAGTGTGTTCTACTCTTTTCTCTTCTAGTAAGTACACAATGGTGTGGATTTTTATTTTATGGCTGTATTCATGCAAATGTTATCTGTCATGTATTTTATGTATTGGCTCTGAAATATCTTGAGCTTTACAAATGAATTAACAGGGTATTCAAACAGTTTAACTTTTTGATTATAATTTAATATATATTTTTTTATATTATTGCTTTTATTTGAATCCTATGATTGATGTCTGTGAAGAATATCAAGGAATTTTATTCTTGTTTCTGTGTAGCGCTGTGCCTGTACATACAGTTGGGATACACAGGTGGAGGATGTAATATGGTAGAGAGAGTAGTAATAGAAAGTAAAAGGAATTGTATTGCAGTGTTACTATTATTTTCAGCAATGATGTATGATATTATGTATTGTTATTGTTTACATTAAATTACTTTGCATTGCATTGCATTTTGGTGTTCATTATGCTTGAAAAAAGGTCATGTAATTATTATTATTACATTACAAATTGATAACTCTTTTAAGGAGCTTGTGAGAAAAAGTTTTCTTCTTTTCATTAAATATACATTTTACTTCACATTGATAACGTAAGTTACTGTGTTTGACAATTAGGTGGTTCAATCCAAGTTCTCATTTATTTCTTGGAAGAGAGCTTTTCTTGATGGTGTGTATTTCCTTAATTAAAATCTACTAGTTCTTAATTTGTTTTATTTTTTTAAACATTTTTATAATGGTTGCAATGATCTTTCCTCCAAGAAATAACTGTAGGAATACAAGTACTGTAGGTTTTTCTTCTTTTTTTTTTCTTTTCTTTTCTTTTCATTTTTTTTTTCTTTTTTTCTTTTCATTTTTTTTTTATCTCAATTATTTTTAACCTCTTCAAGAAGTAATTTTTTAAGGAAGTAATAGTGGTGCAATTTCACTTGAGGATTTGTTTTAGTCAAGAAAGAATTATGTGGGTTCCATTTTATACTTTGAGTTCATTGTAAATGAGTATGACAATACTTGTGGCACGCACTTAGCTATCTATTTTAATTTTTTATTGTGGAAGCAGTTTCTATGAATGGACTTAGTTTCTTAGAGACTACGTTTTAACACTATCTCATTTGTTGCGTGCTGGATATTATGTTTCTAATGTGCATGTTCTCTTGAAAACATGAGAAATTATTTTTGTTGGATAGAAATGTATTAAAAATACTGTAGAGTTTCAAGAGAGTTGGTAAACTTATTATGTAGGAATAAGTGCCTGTGGTTTCTATAGAGGATGCATAACATTTAACGAGAGTGATATATAACATGTCATGCAAGTTCTTTGCACAATTATATGTTTTTAAGCAATTATAATTTCTGTATACTCATTTCACTTCAGTTTCAATTAGGTGCACTTAACAAGAAGTGAATGATATGTACCATATGTGTATCATAGTATGAATTATTAGACTGATTTATTGATTTGATCTTTTCAATGTTATTAAATGTGTTGTAATTCATTCTTTTTTATTCTGACAATTATTCTATATTTTATGTTGCCTTCTTAAATGTTTTTATGCCTAAATATGTATGTATAATAAATAAATTTTTATGCAATTTTAATTAAACCTGCATCACATAGCACTTCCTAAGAGGGAATGATAGAGCTAAAATCAAGAAACAGTAATGAAATAAAGAACAACTTTCTTGATAAGTTCCTAGGACAGAACCACCTTTCTTTTATTAGTCCAATATTATTATAATGTCTCAGAATTTCCAAACTATTGGAGTAAAATTTATGTTGAAGTATAGAAAGAAATCAGCACAGTCAGATTTCTGAAGACTTTCATTGTCTCATAGTTTTATTGTGTTTTAAGAATGCAATATTCTAAAGCTGTTTCTATGGCCACTTTAAGAACTGCAGGATGAAATTGATTTTAAACATTGATAATACAATATTTTTACCAATGCTAATAAAACTGAAACAAAATAAATTTCGACATCATTAATGAAAATGCTGGTAAAATAACAAAATAAGTTTTCAGGAAAATAGAATAGTCAGTGGCATCACTAATGAGAGGGAGGGAGAAGCAGAGGGAGTTGATCACCTTGAGTGGTTCTATCTTATGGGGGACACCCTACCATACCACCTAAAAAAATATATATTTTTGCTATAACTTCGACTGGGAAAAAGTAATATATTGAACAAACATTCAGATTCCATCTAACATTTGTTCAACTTAAAACTGTGTGCCAATTTCTTCGTTACCTATTTATTTTGGAAGTTGTACTGTGGTAATTTATTGTAGTAATTTGAAACGAATCTCAAGGAATTGAATCAGGGCCATTGGTTCGGCATCGATAACACTGATCTATGTTATTTTTGGTAGTCTGCGATATTTTATTTGTTTCTTTATGGTTTTGTGCAAGCCGATTTCAAATCCTCAATCAGTATTTCTGCATCAGCTCCTGTTTTTCCTCTACAAGCCAATCTGTTTTTGAAATTTGTGGTCTTTACTAGATGTTAATACTAAAATGAAATATTTCATTTTTAGACAGATAGTTATAAATGCTTGACTGCAGTTCATCTTAAAGATAACTAAATTTTGTCTATTAACATGAATAGAAAATGTAAAAATGACCCAAATATGTTTTGCTACATGTGTGGTGAAGTGATATTCCTGCGCAAAGATCAAACATTATAAGTAGATCATTTGTGAAGCCCAAATTGAGAGAGGACAAGACCTTTGCTCCACAGCCATGATGTCAAATGTGTGTTGAATAGGCTTAGACAATCAAACAAGAAAATCATAAAGGCAATTATCCTTTGTAAAAAAAATTAAAATATAATAAAGGAAAGGTGAGAGAGCTATGTTACTTTCATATAAGGGAACGACAGGCACAACGGCCAGGGAGGTTTGTAAGGCTGAACAGTGTTGCTATCCTGTGGCAAACGTGGGAAGATTATCCTTGCACTCCCCTTAGTTGTCTTAAATCATGAGAACAAGACGACGAAGAAAGAACTACGTCATCAAGAGTTATTGGAAGTTTTGTGTTTTTAGTACCCTCTGATCTACAGTAAGTCCTCACTTCATGAAATTATTACAAATGTATGTAAAAAAGTTAGGTTTTTGAAACAACTGTTTTAAAACTTCTCTATCTTCAATTTTGTAGTGGTGAGAACTTCGCTACAAAAGTCAATATTGAGAAATGGCTCGTCGTTGTTCTTGACAACTGAGAATAAGGTTTCGGTAATTGCGTCTGGGCGGGCACAACAGCTTGCCCGCTTGCGCTAAAAGCTGATAGGGATACAAAAGACCCAAAACGTTATGAAGCAGCTGAACAGATATCAGAGATCGTTTAGGTTGTAATGCCCTACCGATCTAACTGAAGGATCGCGGTTTCGTGTCCCGCCTCGGACATGGATTTATTTACGTCAAAAACAGTTAAAAACTGTGTGTAACGTGCAATGGGGAAAAAATAATTTGAAGTTACATTTATGTCCAGAAGCAAAACAAGGGGCCATCTCAGCATTTGCTCGAGAATCAGGGAAACTGGACGAAAACCTAATCGAGATGGGTGTCATTGACCCAGAAGCTGGAGTACAATACTTGTTACAGGTTCTTTACAATTATACAATCCACATGATATATAATACATTAAATGACATAGATAAAATTAATATTACTTTCCTTTTGGATGCTCGGTATGGTCTCTCACTGAACAGAAACAGTTGTGCAGCAGAAAAGATTTTACTTGGGACAAACTTTTGTATCGAATTTAATCGTTTAATTTCATCTGGCAAGGTGTTGTAAAAGAATGTACATGTATTATATGTGATTTTTTTTTGTAGTGAGCTGTTGATACTGTCACCTGATGAATATGATTATTACGTCGAGTGTTGTAGTTATAGACAACGACATTTGCTGAAAATATATTCCCGCCCTTAAGTAATTTTTGACAAAAACCATTGATTCATATATTAAGAGACAAGGTAATGGTAAAATACCTAGATTAATAAAGAGAGTCTTACAAGAATCACGTGGGTGGTATTTGCTTATTATTTGTATGATTCGTTTTTGTAATCTAAAAGTCTCGGTGCTATAAGATGTATTTCCCCGGAATATTATGCCATATCAGACGGGAATGATCATTCGCAAAATATACACTACGAGAAGTGTGGAGGCTGACTGAATTTGAAACAATTCTGAAAGCGTAGCATAAAGAACTTAATTTAGTGTTCAATTCATTTAAATGGAGGTTCCATTTAAGATTTGTCTGAATTGAAAGACCTAAAAATTGTGTTACCTTAACATCAGTCAATGGCTCGCCGTTTATTTTCAGTGAAGTACCGAGATGTTTATTTGAAATGGAGAACTTCACTTACTATTAATTTGTTATGGTCATGGTTGTATTGTGTTCGCCCTTTCAGCCCCTATCATCATCATCATCATATCGTGTCATCCTCACAATTGTTGATGCGACCTTAAGTAACAAACAAACAAAAAATATATGAAACGCAAAATAGCCGAAAAAGGATAAGAATATTAATAAAAATCCAAAGAAAACAGCTAAGTAACCCAGGGTCAACACTGCTTAAAGAAACCTATTTGAAGGTACCGATGATGATGCAGAATGTTTATATGGTGAAAAATATCAGTTTCAACTTGAACAAGCGATGGGTCAAGTGTCTAGGATGTGGATTGCGGGTTCTCGATCTGTGTGCTGGTGTCGGGGAAGAGGGCGATGGATATTTATGTAAAAACTGTTCCTAAACTTATTAAAAAAACTTATTTTTCATTATGAAAATATTTGTTTTAATAGATAGTTTTGAAAACACATCTTTTGTATTCAAATGATTAAAATTTCTTTCTTTAATGTAAATGAGTTGTCATTACCTTCACAGGACCGGCACGTTTTTGGTCGACTTTTTACTTTTCCGTATAGGTGCATATATATACAGAGTAATATACGTAGTATAGGGAAAGTTATGTAATGCAGCGGAAAATCGATTTTGTGATTTCAACGGAAATAAACGTTTTAGGTCCCCAGATACCCAAAAAGTGGTATGTTTTAAAACGTCCTACCGTCTGTGAACACTAATAGCGTCTAAACCATGCGTAGGATATTTTCCAAATTGAAGGAATCCCTGTCCATCTATCTCGAGTCGAAATTTTGAGATTTTGAAAAACATTCTTTAAAATTAGGGGGTACTTTATTTGAAGTCCGTCAAGCACTTTTTAAAATTTTTCCAAAACGGTTCCATTCCATTCCTAAATTGTTTCTTTAAATTTCTTGTAAGAATAGAATAACATAGACTTATAACGGTGGAGTAGGTCCAATTTTCACGGTTAACTCTGAATTTTCTCAAAATTTCAATTATTTTTGTCGGTGTCTCCCTACAACTACAAAATTGAAAATGGAGAATTTTGCTTAAAATAAAATGTGTTCACTATAGTGAATCTTTCATTAAGGGTTTTTTTTTTTTTTTTTTTTTTTTTTGAAAAATTTAGTAGTTAAAATTTAGTAAAATTGCAACTGCAATTTTAAAAAAATTCAAAAACTAAATTTTCTAAAAAGGGCTTTAGAATGTTTCTTTAAAATTTTGGTTAAGAATAGTGCTAAATGTACTCAATAAGATGACATAAACGCCATTGATCTATTCTTTTGTTGTTGTTTTTTTCAAAAATGTAATTTTTTGACCTGCCTCTCATGTTAATGTTTTTATTAGGCGCAATTTATTCATATTATTGTATTTATGAGTACAGGTGCTTTAAATAATGTCATACAATTTCTCGAAACGTTTTCTGTGAAAAGTAGCTCAAAACTCCGAATTTTCAGAAACGGTCAAACGCTCTTTTCTCTCCAAAACGGCTCCAAATATATTTTTTCAAACATTTCGAACGAATAGTGGTAATTGCACTCTTTAATATGACGTGAAGATCATTTAGCGTTTAAACGCCAGGTTTTTAAAAAGGCTCCAATTTTTTTAAAAGAAAATTGCCATTTAGGACGATGTTTTACTGTTCTCTAATATTCTCATAATAATATTTCCGTTCTACTATTAGAAAAAAGGCAGCAGGAAAGAGTATGTGGCAACTTTGAATTGCTAGCCGAGACCAAAGGAAATAGAAAACTAAAACGGGAAAGTCTGTGCCATCATGTAACACCACTAGTTTGTTAGAGCTATATCATATTCATCAATATCACTGGCTTAAGAGGTGAAAATGTTAACCCTCCTCACGTCGCAAGAGTGCCTTATGGTCCAGTAAATGTTAAAATAGTTTTTTTCTACTTTAAAACCCGTTTTCTCTATTTATGCATCACTTTTTATTTTTATGCCCTTCCTCTGAGTGCGTAATGGCCACTTGGATATTTTTTGGGAAATTGATTATTTAGATGCTTTTCCTTTTTTGAAATACAAACAAGTTTTTTATACACTAGGATGATTAATGTGTGTATTCCATGATTATGAAGTTTGTGGATTAATTAAAAATAACTTTAAAAAATAGCTAAGATTAGGCTGGCCGTTATGCCCGTCCTTCCCCTAATCTGTTTTTGTCACGTCTGTTATCATGTTATTGACCTTCTATAAACAGAAAACGTCCTAATAGCAAAAACAGTATGC